ACCCTTCAAGAGTTGCTCCCCCTTCGGCTGCTCCTCCGAATTATTCTTTGGGTACTTGTTTATTTGTTTTGATTTTTTGTGAATGTGGTTTGATCAATCGTTTTGAGTCCTCCCCTGCCGAATTCTGATGTTAAAGTATCTTTCTCCCTATTCCTCTATCTCCTCTCCTCAGTCTGTTTTTTTTTTTGGTGTTTTCTAGTGTAAATTTTAGTTACAGCAAAAAAAGTCGATATTGAAGAAGATGGGCAACAACATGCCAATTAGAGAGAATCAGCTATGTAGACACATATAGTTATATGTAGTCATATACAATCATATCATATATGATTGAGCTACCCTATACAATCGAGAATATACAATATTAAAGGGTATATGAAGCAAGAATATGACTATAGTCAAATATAATCATATATAGTCATATATAATCATATATAGTCATATTCGAAATAGTAAACTTTTCGAGAAATAAAATTAGAATTTAAAAAAAAAAAAAAAACATTATTTAAAAAAAATGAAAATGCTAAATGCAGTTGGTGGAATGTTGAATGCAGTTTTGATGTAGATTAGGAAAATTAGACTTGATTTGGTGGGGTGCGCCGGACTTATGCTGTAGTGCAACGCATGGGCGACGCTTGAAAACCCAAACAGCAAGCTGCCTTGATGAGTCTTCCCCCTTAAAAAATAAATTTAATATCGTGTGAGCCAATGGCCCACATATCAGATATTAAACTGATAAGAACAGATACTACACTTGATCTTAGCCAAAAGGCCGAGAAAGGTATGAGAATTCCAGTGTAAGGTTGTCTTCATTTATATTCATTGTCTCTGGGGCTTCTAGCTTCCACAACCGGTGTGGGATAACTTGTTCTTTTCTTCCTTATACTAATTTACCTTTTTTTGAGTAAGTACTATTTACCTAATATCTATAAAATAGAAGCTAAATTAAAGACTGGAAAAATAGTTGGTGGCAAACCAAGAATTGTACAACGCAGAGTGCATTGAGAGCACAATTCTATATTCACTTTTTTGTCATTTCTCATAGATATGTAGGTAGTAGACTTATCTTTTGCGTGACACCAATCTTCTTTTTTATGAAAACTAGATTAATTATCTGGGAAATTAGGTAATACCTCACTTCTATCAAAAAAAAAAAAAGGTAATACCTCACTAGATTGTATAATTAGAGATAAGGATAAAAACTCATTTTGGTTTCCAATAAAATCTGTACATTTAGATCCTTTAGTAATTAGTTTTTGACAAATATTTTGTTCCGCTCTATTGTAATTAGTTTTTGACAAATTTGATCTTGTGAAAATCTTAACAATTCTAATTCTCCCAAAAACCGGGTAAACAACATAGTACCTTTATGTGTTAAGACAAACATGCACCAAATCCCCGAGTTTTTTTAATCGTTTTATTACGTAAAATGCTCATATGTTTCATTTTTCCTTGCACGAAATCCTTATTTTTGTTAATAATTAACACCGTTAACTATAGAAGGTATCTTATACAAGTTTTTCTTATAATATGGAGGGATTTGGTGTCAGGTTTTGCAATACAAAGGGGTCGATGCAAAATTAATTTATTCATTTCAAATTCAACTAATTTCTTAAACTAAGAGGGTGTCTGGTTAAGCTTCTACGATGTTACAAGAACTTATAAGATGTTTAAGAGCTTATAAGCTCTTCCAAAGTGTTTGATAATTTTTTTAACAAAATATCTTAATTTTTTTTTATAAGTTGTTGGAAGAACAAATAAGATCTTCTTTATAAGAACCTCTACCCACCTTTTTATTTAAGATCTTATTATGAATAAAAATAGCGAATAAGCTCATTATCCAAACACTTTAAAAATTAATTCAAAAAATAAGATGTCACAGCTTATCAGCTCTTAAAATATTTTGTCAAGCATAAGAGATTATCAGTTGTTTTAAATAAGCTTAGCCAAACGGACTCTAAGTCGAATACATCTATAAATTTAAAATATGAAAAAAAAAAAAAAAAAAAAAAATATTCGAGATGGAAATTGGAACAAATTCTCAAAATTATTTATGTTCTTTTGACATATAACTAATCCAAAAAAATTAGAAAAATATATAATAATTCTAATAAAATAATTATATATTTTAAAAATCAAAAACTTTAAATACATTAATAAATTAAATCATATAAAAAACTTATTTAAAAAAACATTCACGACACCTATCAAAATTTCTAAATTTTATATTGTAATTAAATAAATGTGTTCGACTTAATTTAAGAAAATAATATCAATTTTAAACGAATAATTTAATTTCGCATAAAAGCCCCTTGTATTGTAGAAAATATGTAT